AGAATCTTAGGCACAAAGTCTAAGTTAATTGTTATTTTAAATTGTTTTAATCAACTGGTAGGATATTCCACCGTCAACATAAAAGTTATGTCTTGTGAATATTTTGAAAAATTATTTTTCTAATTAAAAAATTTGAACTAATTGTTTTATTTAATAATTTGGAGTTAATTATCTAATTAATAATTTTGAATTAATTGTTCTAATTAAGAACCTGACCCAAATGAATTTTAATTAGCTGAGGAGGAACATTATGAGGTGAGCATTAGGGAGAAAAGAGCATTGCACCTTTTGCAAGTTGCAAGTCCATGATGAAGATTCCACGTTTTTCAGGGGAAGTATTATAAATAATTTTAATATAATTTTTAATTAATTTTTTTAATAATTTATGCAATAAATTTTGACATAAATATTTAAAAAAATTAAAAATACAATTTTTTTATAATATTACACTTAAATTTCTAGAATCTTTGAATCATGCCCGATAATTTTTTTCTTTGTCTATATAAGAAAAAATATAAAAAAAAATAATTAAAAGATTTTGTTAACTTTAACTTTTATAGTTAAAAATAAGTCGTTAATAATAATAAAATTTTATTAAAAAACAAATATTTATTATATTTTTATAACTTTAATATAATAACTATGTTTTTTTTATAATTTTTTTTATCTATAAATAAGAGTTAAGATTAATAAAACCTTTAATTCAAATATGCTAATAGTATAAAATTCTCTTGTATTATTTTTTATTCAGCTTATTAAATCAATGAATATTATTAATTTTTAAACAGTTATTTTTAAAATACATGTTTACAGCGTATTTACAATTATCAAATAATTATCAGTCATCTATGTTATAACATCTTAGAAAAATCTCTCTTTAAAATTTTAATTATCTTTCCACTTTCATTTTTCTTATTTCCATTATATTTCTTTCATAAATTCATTCCACAATTTATTTAAGGCCTCTGTTTATAGGCTTTTTGATAAATACATAAATGCATTTTTAATACATATCTATACTTTTAATTGCATACTTAAGTTATTTAATTGCATACACACCACAAGAAATCAAATCATTAAAATATCCTTACTTGCATTTTCTTACATATTCTAACAAATTTTATGATTTTCTAACTTTCCAACACTTGTAAACCGATCTCACTTCCAATCTTTTTTTAAATTTTCTAAATAGTTCCCTATTTTTTATTTAATTGTTTATGACCCCAACAATTTTATAATTTTAGATAAAAAAAATAGTTTCTCCTTTTCAGACTATGTTTGAAGGTTGTGTAGGGAGAGGAGGAAAAGGAAAAAGTGGAAGTAATTAATCATTATTTGAAAGTTGCTTAATTAGGAGAAATTTTTTTTTGAGAGTTTTTTTTAATTCTTTTAACCTTTATTTTTTGAGTTTCTCTATTTTAGGAAATTTTTTCTTTCTTGCTATTCGTTACTCTTTTCATAAATATGATTCTAACTTTTTTTAAAAAATAAAATTTAATTTTTAAGTAATTTTAAAAATATTAATTTTTAAAGAAATAATTTTTTAAATTTTTTTGTAAAATAAAATATAATATTATTTATATAATTAAATCTTTCATCACACTCTTCTCTCAATACTAAATATCGAAAGAGTTTAACTTCCTTCTCCTTATTTTTTTCCATTTTCTCCAAACTCTCAAATAAAGTCATAAAATGTGTATGTGAAGAGATTTTTAAAGAGAAAAAAGAGAAAAAAACATATTTTTTAATTTTAAATTAAAAGAATTATATATTATTTATAATACTAAATATATTAAATTTTTATTAATATATTAATTTATATTATTTAATTTTTAAAAATATTAATTTTAAATATAAATTTATACCTTCCCTTTTTTTTTCCTTCTAAAATCTCCCTTCTCAAACAACCTCTTAATTGAAAATAATATTTTTTTTTAAAATATGAGATGTGAAAAATATATATACCAAAATGTAATATTTTTAAAAATTACAAAAATATAAAGTTTTAAAATTGTCAGTACCCATTTTTTATATAAATACTTATCCAATAATAAAAAGTTGCTAAATTTAAAAAATTGTCACCGATTATTTTTTTAAAAAATATAAAAAATAAAAAGTTATCATTAACAATTTTTAAAAATTTTCATACTTTTGAAATAATTTTTAAAATATCATATTTTAATATATTTTTTTTTATCTTTTTCTCATATATGAGATGCATAACTAACTAGTATTCTTTCGTTTGCAGTTTACTGTCACGGTAGGACAATTAGTCATTTGTACCCCTTTAACCTTTTATTTTTAAAAATTAAATTTTGAAAGTAATTATAAGTTATTTTTGGAATTTAATTTATAAAAAATAATATATTTATAAAATTAAATACTAAAAATTTACATATAAATTAAATTTAAAATTTAATTTTTTAAAAAAAATAAAAAAATTAAATATTTGAAAATATAATGTGCATGTGGTGTAGAAAGAAAGGCCCCACCTTAAATCCTCAGCCTAGCTTCAATGCTACCTGTTGAACAAAAAAAAAATAAAAAAACCAAAGCTTCAATGGTACTGAGCCTTAGCTTCATTTCAGTTAAAATACGATCAGGCCTTAAGAACTAAAAACTAAATTTTATCTTAGATTTTAGTGCGTGTTTCGATTTATATTGCAAATGATTATGAATTTATATTTAATCTAAATTTATTAATTTAATTTTATGTGACTCGAATAAAATTGTCACTAAGTATATATGGTCTAAAAAATTATAACAATGTATTTTTATATTAAAATTTTATTTACATATTTTTTTAATGCGATCGTGACTTTTTAATATATTTTTAAACATGCAGCGAATGATTTATTACATTGGATCATTGGTTTAACCCAAAAAGACAGTAATATAAATTTGGAAAAAAACCCTTCTCTAATAATGATGATGAGTGCAATACATGTATTTTATGAATATGCAAATATTGATTATATAATATTTTGAATTTTAATTTTATGCAATTATCTTTCTTTTAATTCTTATTTTTTTTTAAATTATTATTTTAGTCCGAAGTAACTTCACAAAAAGGTTGTATGTGACAAAAAGTTAACACAGACGACATCCTAATTAGCCATGTTATAATAATTTTTAAAAATGTTAAAAAAAATAAATATATTTTAAAGAACTAAAAACAGACTAACTCATAGAAAAAATTAAGCGGAACTTTTTTGTTTCATTCATTTGTGTATACATATATATATATATATATATATATATATATGTATATATAAATTATACTAATTAAAAGGTTAAGTTTAACTTAAAAAAAATTAAACTTATTATTATTAAACTCACATTTTCCACAATCACGTGTCTCTGGTGGAGTTTTTAGTTTTTTTTCAAAATGAGCCCCACTTTCTCGTTTTTTATTTAATTATATTTTTACATTTAAATAATAAAAAATTCTCTATTATCATCTTTATATTTTCATTCATCTGCATAATTAAAAGATAATTATTTTTATCTTAATTTTCTTTGCTTTTTCTCTTATTTACATCCGTCTTGGACTTCCAAAGATTTTATACAATAGGCAACATTACAATTATTGTTTCATTATTTCTCTTTTTTTTTCAGTCACTATTTCCTTAAGTGATAGTTTTTAGTTTTTTCCTTTTTAAATGATATCCTTTAGTCACTTTTAAAACATTATACAAAGAAAATAGACTGTATAAGATATAAGATTAAGCTCTATTAGTTTGGCTTGTCCATACAATTTTAAATCATATTTTTGACAATATTTATTTACTCCTATATAAACACATTGCATTTTTTTTCCAATTTATAATATATATTTTGGAATTTTTCATATTAAATTATATACTTTTCTTATTTAATTATTCGTTTGTATATTTTTAATTTCTTTAATTTTGAAGAATTTAATTAGAATATATTTTAGTATATTTTTCATTATTATCTGATCATATATTATCACATTAAAAAAATTTCTTCAATAATTATACATGTCCTATATTCTAATGGTCGGTAGTATAAAAACATTTTTATATTAAAAAGCAAGTGAAATTAAATTAAATTTTTAATTAATGCTCAATTTTTTCGATGAACAATAAAAATAATGAAATATTTACAAATTGGTTGTAAACTGATTTTTAAAATTTTTCAGAAATTTTAATTATCGTATGTATTTTTTAATTAAATAATTTGCTTAAATAAATAATGAGATGGCATGGAGATGCAATTGAAGCAATGGCTCCATGATTCCATTACCACTCAACCACTGCATTACTTATAAGGTAAGTCTATACCAGCAGCCACGGCCAGAGCCATGACCCTACCCACCTTTTCATTGTCACTTTCCTTTCATTCTTTTCACAGTGCAGTTAATCATTGTAGGAAGAAGTCTAAAGTAAAAATTAGCTAATAAACTTAATAAAATTATTGAGATTTGTATCATCATAAACTTAAATTACTTTCTATCATCATAATTTATTCTCACCATTTATACACTATTTCCTAGAAGCTATTTGTGTTGTTTATCAATTAAAAATATAGCTTTCTTTAAATAAAAAAATTCTATTTAATATTATTACAAATTATTAAGATAAAACTCTAATATTAATTAGAAAATATTTATTTTATATTATTTTTGTGAGATGGTCAAAGTTATCTCATTTCAATAATTAATAGCACTTAATAAATTTTATAAAATAATTTTGAAAACATGAGTTCAGATAAAATACAAGATCAAAAAGAAAAAGAAAAAAGTGGCAGGCGAATCCAGATAAATTATTACATTTCAAAATTTGACGAGTTACCACAAGGACATGCAGATGATGGTGTGATCAATGAGCAAAAGCAAACACCGAAACATAACCGTCAGAGTCACCCAGAACCGAACAAACCTATTTTTAATTTTAATTTTTTAATTTTGTCTTTTTTAGGTTAAAAAGATTTATTTAAAAATAAAAAATTGATGTTGCTTGATTCGACACTTACACCAGCGGAGAAAATAACGCTCGCGTCGCGTTGCGTTTAGATCTGAGAAACGCTGCTACCATCACCGAACACAACCCTTCTTTACACACACAAAAGATAAAGAAAGGGAAAGAGAGGAACAAAACGATTCCATTTGTATTTCATAGCCACAACGCCCTCACCTCGAATGAAAGTTACGACGTCGTTTCACGCCTATCGCCAACCCTCAATCAGGTTCTTCTTTCGTTCCTCTTCTCTCCATGCGCAGAACTTTTTGTTATTTATTTATTTCTAATTTTTGAATCAGATGGTTATGCTCTGCTTGGTGGATGCGGAAATGGAAATGAATTTTGAAAACCTTCAAACACCACACCAGCACGTTGATATGTGTGTTTTTTTTTTTTTTGGGCGGATATAAGCTATGGATATTTTAATTTTGATTTCGGTTTGTTTATTTTGTTTTGATTGTGAAGAGTGTGTTAATTGTTGTAACTGCGTGGAATTTGATTCGATTTGTTGGTTTGATCTGGGTTGCAGTGTAAGAGGAGGATCTGAATGATGGCCACGGCGTGTTTGTGGTGATTGCTGCGCTTACAGTGGGTAGCAACAACGGAGTGGATCGGAGAATGGACCGGAGCAAGAGCCGTACCGATCTACTCGCAGCTGGCAGAAAAAAGGTATCTGATTTTTGCCTAATGAATTTCAATTCTTGCTTTGCTAAGTGTATTGTGTGTGTGTGTGTGTGTGTGGAGGAGAATGAACTATACGTCTTATGTTTTGAGAGTGAGTTTTTCATAACTGGGTTTTGGTTCTAATTAGAGTTAGGGTTGTTGGATCGAACGGTGTGTTTGGATGACAACTTATTTAAGTGCTTATTTAAAAAACTCTTTTTAAACGATGACTCTAATGATGAAACTTATTGGGATAAGCTGAAAACAGCTTATTTTAATAAGTTATACCAAGATGCTTATTGAAATAAGCTGAAAAGAGCTTCCATGAGAGAGTAAAATGCAGATTTGATAACCACTGAGGAGTCTGTCAACAATATCAACGGCTTAGAATTTAATTATATAATGCAAGAGTCTACCTCCTTGATTTATTTGTCAATGATCAACATGTGTGCTTTACACTTTAAAATGTGCCAAACTTTTAAGAGGATTCAAATTCACTTAAGAAAATAGTGCAAGAACTGAACTTTGTGGCTTTCACCTGTCTGTTTTCATTTTGGAAGGTTTATGTGTAAACTGTAAACTGGATTTGATTTGTTTCTTACAGGATCAGAAAGAATATAATTACTATTCAGTTTAGACATATGTATAGGGTGTGCAGTTCTTAATTTTGACTCTTCATGTTTTCGTTTTCAGCTTCAGCAATTTCGTCAGAAGAAGGATAGTAAAGGTGGTAGTAACCGTGGAAAATCATCAAAAAATTCTGGTAAACCTCAGCTACCTGAGTCTGATGCTGCAAGTAGTGCTTCAATTTCAATGGAATCATCTCAAATTAATGATGGACATGACAGTGACTCCAATAGGGTTGTTACAGAATCATCAGAGTCACACTCTGTGGAAAACTCATTATCTTTTGACAATATTGATCCATCTGTTGATTCATCATCATTGGTCACTACAAATGATGCAAGCGATGAAACTGAATTGGATTCCAACACCAACTTGGCACTTCAGGTTCATGGGGTCCGTGAGAATGATTCTGAGTTATCTGCCCTAGATCAAGGGGTAATTGCTCAAGACATTGGTGCTGATGTGCCAGAGGATGAGTCTTTGAGAACTTCAGACATCCCAGTTCCTGAAGGTGAAGCAACATATGATCATGTTCATGTGTCTGCACCTGCTGCCATTTTGTCCCCACATGCTTCTCTTACAACTGCAGTGGGTGAGTCTGTAACACATGAAAGAGAGGGTGAAAAGAGGGAAGAATTGTTGCTTTTATCCGAGGATATTCCCAATACATCTGTGATGCAAGCAAGGGAAGATCAGGTAACAGATTTAGGTTGTGCTCTCTCTCTCTCTCTCCCCACCACCCCCACTCCTTTAATTTAATGTTATATATTATACAGTTACGTTTTGCAACTAGGATATTAGTTGGGCAGCTGGGAAAACTGATATGTGGATTTGATTTATAATTTATATTCTCATTTGTTGCTGGGTAGGGGCAATGCAGGAAGCTGATGGTTTGGATATGAAGAAATCTTGTCAAAGCATTGATGCAGTGATTGATGGTCAAAAGGAGCTTCCTTTGTCCGATGTTGGCAAGAGTGACCAGAGTCCTTTGGGGATTGCTTTGGAGAAGACTAAAATTGAGGAGGAATATCTTGAAGCTGAGCAACTAGACAAGTCAGTTGAATTACTCTCCTCTCTTGAGGACATTGTGTCAGATAAGCTTCCAGGTTTTGATAAAGGCCAGGGAGATCATATTGCAACTGCAGAGCCTTCTATGAGGAATCTGGAGAGAGAAACATTACCTGGTTCATCTGACGACAAAATGCTCCTTCAGTCTAATCAAGATCAGATTAGCAAAGGGGTTCTTATTGGACAGGATGGGGGGCTTCAGGAGGAGGGTATTAGTCAGAAATTTACTTCTGTTGGATTTGCAGTTGAGGATCCAACTCATGAGGTTGATTCGGCCAGACCATGGGATGCCTCCTCTGTTTTTGATGAAAACTCAGTCAACCTCTTGCAGCTGGCTGAAATTATGAGGGGGCTTAAGGAAGAAGAGTATCAGTTTCTGCTCAAGGCAAGAGGAGCAGGGCCTGATTTGAATCCTTTAGCCCGTAGTTCAGATCTATCAGACCATGACATTTCAGAAGCATTTCAGAGTCTCAAAGAAGAATTTTTTATTACAAATTTAATGAAAAATATATTCAACATGCAACTAGATGAACAACTGGAGCTACTACTGGAGTCTGATAATAAGCATCACCAGTTAATTGATGAAATGTCTCAGCTCCATGCTTCTCATAATAAAGTTAATGAGGAGAATCGACACCTTGCTGAAGAACTTGCTAATTGCCATGTTGAACTACGTGATATTTCTAGCAAGAATGTAGAACTTCAAAATCAGTTTAATGCTGCCAGGGCAGAGGTCGAAGCTCTTTCTACCAGAGTGGTTGAGCTGCAGAGTAGTTTTAATGTGTCTCAAAAAGATTCATTGGAATTGTCCAGTGAGTTGGCTGACTGCAGAGGCTTGATCTCAAGTTTACAGGTAGAAAAGAAGGGCATGATTGAAACTATTGATTTGGTGATTGTTGAGAAAAATAAGCTTGTGGAGGAGAGGGAATTCCATCTATGTCAAATTACGAATCTAGCAACTGAATTATCTGACTTCAAGAGTTCAATGGAAGGAGTGAAAGTTGACAATTCGAACTTGATTGACAGGATCTCTAAGGTGACTGAGGAGAGGAATATAATCAAAGCAGAAATTGAGCATCTCTCACATGAAATTGACAGGTTGTCATCAGAGTTGGTCGATAGTAAAGATTTGGTGGCAAGGCTACGAGCAGAGAATTCCAACATAAATGGGACTCTTGCATTGTCAACTGATAAGATTAAAAATCTTGAATATGAGAATCAACATCTTGTTCTTGAGAATCAAATGTTATCTTCTCAAACCATTGCTCTACAAGAGCAATTGTCTTCAGAAAAGGGGGAACGGATGATGTTTGAAGGTGAGCTTAAAGAAGCCACGGTGCGGTTGGAACAAATTTCCAACGAAAATGTGTATCTCAATAGCACTTTGGATGAGCACAAAGCCAAGATAGAAGAAATTGGAAAGGAACAAGGGCAACCACTATCTCAACCTAGGGACCTTGGGAATCAAACTCATGTTGCATGTGAACAAAATAAGGGCCTTGAAATTGCAAGTACTGAAGATTCGCTGCATATGGATCAAGAGCCACATGAAGCTGCACCTGGAGAACCACAGGTGAATATACTTGAACATGAAGTCTTTGATGATTCTCTTGGGTTTGTTTCATGGAAGGCTTGCTTGGATGAGGTGGAGGACATGTTGGTGAAGCTTGAAAAGGCAATTAATTTGTTGCATTTTCACTCAGTATCCTCTGGTAGGTCGGGTGAAAATGTTTCTTCACCTAGGGTATCTAAATTGATACAGGCTTTTGAATCAAAAGTACATGAAGACGAGAATGAGGCAGAAACAAGGGATTCTAGTGAAGTTCAGTCATCATCAATCTCATTTATAATGTTAACCAAAGAGCAAATTGAAACTTTGAAAAAATTGCTTTCAAAGTGGAGGGTGGATATTCAGATAGCTGGTGTATTGTTCAAGGGGGAGCGCGATGGTAGGAAAACTGGTGATGCAAAGTACAGTGATCTCAAGGACCAGTTTGATGAATTGAAGCAACATTGTTCAGATTTGGAAGCATCCAACATTGAACTGCAAGTTCAATGTGAAACTGCAAAGCAAATTCTGGGAAATATTCAAGAAAAAAAATGTCTTCTTGAGGAAATTTGTGATGCTTTAAAGCAAGAAGATATCCATCTCAAAGCCAAAAATAATGAACTTTATGAAAGGCTTGGATATTGTCAGTCAAAAATTAATGACTTGCATACTGAAATGTGTGGTCTGAAACAGAGTTCAAATGATATGGCTTCTATTATTGGCGGTCAACTGAAAGATTTGCATAAGGTGGTGACTGAGAGGGCAATGCTACTTGAGCAAGGCTGGAATACGACCACTGCTGAGATTGTTGAGTTAATTGGGAAACTGAACGAATCAATTGGTGTAACTTTGTGCACAACTGTCTCTTCTAACTCCCATGGCAACTTTGATATCAGTAATCAGTTAGAAGTTTCTGTTAATGCAGCTGCTGAAACGATTTTTGATCTGCGGAAGAAGCTTGAAGCTACTTATTCTGAACATGAAATAATGTGTATGTCATATAAAGAAATGAATTCAAAATGTGATGATCTGCTTAGGAGAAATGACTTGGCTGTTGGTCTATTGCATACAATGTATGGTGACCTAAGAAAACTTGTGCTCAGTAATGGTGGGTCCATGGATGACGATAACGTAGATGTACAAATTGAAGCACTGCCTGATCTGCTGAACTATGATAGCTACCAGCCAATATTAAAACATCTTGTGAATATATTGAACGAGAAGCTGGAACTTGAGTCTGTTACCAAAGAGACGAAGTCAGAATTGATGCACAGGGAAACTGAATTGGAAGAATTGAAGATGAAGTGCAATGGTTTAGATTCTGTTAGTAAGCTAATAGAAGATGTTGCGAGCCTGCTGAATGTGGAAATTTCAGAGATGGATATAAATAAATCTCCCCTCTCTTGCTTAGATTCATTAGTGTCTAGTCTTGTGCAGAAAACTAGAGAGGCTGAAATCCAATGTCACATGACTAAAGAAGGGTATGAATCTAAGGGGACGGAATTGGCTGAATTGAAGGGAAAGACACATTATCTAGACACACTACGTCTTGAGAATGAAAATGAAATCCTTGTTCTTAAGGAAAGCTTACATCAGACTGAGGAAGCCCTTACTGCTGCTCGATCTGAATTACAGAAGAAAGCAGATGAACTTGAGCATTCAGAACAGCGGGTGTCATCCATTCGGGAGAAACTTAGCATAGCAGTTGCCAAGGGAAAAGGGTTGGTTGTACAGCGGGATGGCCTCAAGCAGTCCTTGGCAGAGACATCCAGTGAATTGGAGAGATGCTTGCAAGAGTTACAGTTGAAAGATACAAGACTTAATGAGGTTGAAACAAAACTTAAGACCTATGCAGAGGCAGGTGAGCGTGTGGAAGCTCTGGAGTCCGAGCTTTCATATATCCGTAATTCAGCTAACGCTTTGAGAGAGTCATTTCTTCTTAAAGATTCAATGCTTCAGAGGATAGAAGAGATATTGGAAGATCTAGATCTGCCAGAGCAGTTTCATTCAGGAGATATAATTGAAAAGATTGATTGGTTGGCTAGTTCAGCTTCTGGAAACTCATTGCCCATGAATGATTGGGAGCAGAGGGATTCTGTGGGAGGAGGCTCATACTCTGATGCTGGTTATGTTGTCACGGAGTCCTGGAAAGATGAAAGTCAGCTGCAACCAGATTCAGGAGATGATTTTAGAAAAAAAACTGAGGAGTTGCAGAGTAAGTATTATGAGTTGGCTGAGCAAAATGAAATGCTGGAGCAATCATTGATGGAAAGAAACAGCTTAGTTCAGAGATGGGAAGAGCTTGTAAATAGAATTGATATGCCTTCACATTTGCAATCCACAGAGATGGAGGATAGGATTGAATGGATAGGAAGAGCACTTGCTGAGGCTAATCATCATGTAGATTCTCTGCACATGAAGATTGAGAAATACAATAGTTATTGTGGATTGTTAAATGCTGATTTGGAAGAGTCTCAAAGGACAGTATCTTCTCTTCAAGGTGACCTTGGAGCTCTTACATCTGAGAGAGATCACCTTTCTGAAAAAATGAAGGCTTTGATGCATGAATGTGAGAAACTATCCTTGCAGACAAGTGAAGCTGAACTTGAGAATGAAAAGCTGCATAATGAAATAACAAGTTTGAAACATAAATTGGAAGAAAAAGTTGCAATTGAAGAACAAATTTTCACCATTGATGGCAAGATAAAAAAATTGCAAGACTTGGTTGTTAATGCCTTGTCAGAATCTGAATCAGAAAACCTGGTTTCTGGTAGTACAAATATTGATTCCTTGGAAGAATTACTGAGAAAGGTTGTAGAAAAGCTGAACTTAGAAGAGAAACTATCAGTGCAGACAAGGGAAGCTGAACTTTTGAATGAAAAACTGCATAATGAAATAACTAGTTTGAAAGATAAATTGGAGCAGAAAGCAGCAATGGAAGAACAATTTTTCACCATTGATGGCAAGATCAGAAAATTGCTAGACTTAGTCAGTGATGCCTTGTCAGAATCTGAAACAGAAAATTTGGTTTCTGATAGTGAAAATATTGATTCCTTGGAAGAATTGTTGAGAAAGCTTATACAAAATCATGCAAATGTTTCACAAGAGAGTGATGCTACACTTCATGAGGAAAGAAGTAAAGATGTGCAGGATATGGAGGAGGTAGATATTGATAGATATAGAAGAGATCTGGAGGAGTCTTTGAATGAATTGGTGCATGTGAAGGAGGATAGAGATCGAACTTTGGAAAAGCAAATATCCTTATCTGGTGAAGTTGAAGCTCTGACTAAGAGAACTGAAGAGTTGCAAGTGCTTCTTAATCAGGAAGAGCAGAAATCAGCTTCTGTTAGAGAGAAGTTAAATGTTGCAGTCAGGAAAGGGAAGACGTTGGTGCAACAACGTGACAGTCTAAAACAAACCATTGAAGAGATGAGTGGTCAGATGGAGCATTTGAAATCTGAGATCAACAACCGAGAACAGACACTTGCAGAGCATGAACAGAAGTTGAGACATTTGTCAACCTACCCAGATAGGTTAGAAGCTCTTGAATCTGAGAATTTGCTTTTGAAGCAACATTTGGAAGAAACTGATCGCCATTCATTGGAGCAAGAATACTCTTTGAAACTGATTTTGAACAAATTAGGTGAGATTGAGGTTGGTGGTGAAGGTCATACAAGTGATCCAGTGAAGAAGTTGGAATGGATTGGGAAATTTTGCTGTGATCTAAATAGTGCTGTGACTTCTTTGGAACAAGAATCCAGGAAATCAAAAAGAGCTTCAGAACTCCTCTTGGCAGAGTTGAATGAGGTTCAAGAAAGGAATGATAGTTTCCAGGAGGAGCTTGGAAACGTGGCTGCTGAACTTGTCGATCTCAGAAGAGAAAGGGATTCAGCTGAGGCTGCCAAACTGGAGGCTCTTGCACATCTTGAAAAGTTATCAGCCTTGCACGAGGAGGGAAAAAAGAGCCATTTTTCTGACATAATGGAATTAAAATCTAGTGTGAACCAAGTTTGCAAAAGTTTTGGTGAGGTTCAGAATTTACTAGCTAATGTTTTCTTAATGGATTTGGAATCCTATCGGAAACTTGAGGCTGGTCTTGAGTTATGTATGAAAGGAAACAATGCCACAAATATGGTGGATTCGTCTGTCACCAAAGAACATGATGGCATTTTACCCTGTTCATCTGCTATTAAGGTATTGATATCACACAGATATGCAACCAGTTGTTTAAAATTATATTTTTCACCAAGTTTTGACATTTTCAATATTCTACATCAACTGTCTTTCATGAGGTATGTTATGATAATGAGAATGACAAATAGAACAGACAATGCAGTTGGTTGGCATGTGACAGTGATGTGTTTGTTTAATTTCTTGTACTATTTTGTAATATGGGGTTGGGAGGGTGCTTTTTGGTTTCTGCTCTACATGCTATTTTAATATGCTTTGTATATTTGATGATTGCCGTTCTCTGATGTATCTGGTTCCAGCAGAATGCATCTTTTTCAAGGTTGTTCTTTTGTGCTTACAGATGTTATGGGACAAGGTTGTGTTTGTAGCCCATATTTGATGTTCTGTGAATGATTATTTCTAGGGAATTTCCTTGTCTGATGCACAGAGGGATTGAACAGCTTTATTGCATCTTTGAGATCTTTAGGCTGATTATTTTATGTTTTCTTCTAGTTTCAGTTTCCTCAACTCCCAGTTTAATTTTAATGTCATATATATTTGTAAATGAATGCTGACTTTTCAAACTAGAACAAATTGAGCAGCTGTGAGTGGAGATATATTACAACGTGTTTTTCTAATTCTAAATTAAGGGTAATTGAAAAATTTTGGTTGCATTGAGCATTTAAGTCTGTAATTAGAGGTGAAACATTTTTCTATTATATACGGAATGTTCCAACTCAAAATCTCTTCCTCTTTGTTTGTCTCATTGTATTGCCTTTTCTTGTAAGGATTATTTGGACTCCTTGTTTTTATTATTTTGTGTAATATGATTTAGTTTCCATCCTAAATCCTTGTGATATTTGTTCTCCAGAAGAGCTCTACGTCTGCAGATCCTTGGTCAGATTTTGACACAATGGACCACCATGAGGATAATACCATAGTCGAAATTTTTCATGTATTTGGGCATCAGCTGCAAGAGCTCTTGGTGGAGGTTGGTTCTCTTAAGGAAAGAATAGACATGCACACAAGTTTGGCACATGAGCAAGACAAGACTCTATCGAAACTAATGGCAAGTGTGCAAATGGAAATGACTTCCCAAAGAGAGTCATGTGAAGCCATGAAGAAAGAGGTAAGTGAACGAGATGGGGAGCTAGTTGCATTACGTGGGAACATTGCCTACCTTTATGAAGCATGCGTTAATTCTGTCATTGTACTTGAAAATGGAAAGAATGAACTGGTTGGCAAGAACGTTGAATCTTCAGATCTAGGAATTAACTTGGAAACACCTTCGTTTGATGATGGTATATCTGAGGAACGTATTAAAATTGTGACAGATAGACTGCTGTTGGCTGCAAAAGGGTTTGCTAGTATAAAAACTGAATTTTTAGATGCTAATCAAAAGGAAATGAAGACTACTATAGCAAATTTGCAGAGAGAGCTTCAGGAAAAGGATGTCCAAAGAGATAGGATTTGCTCGGAACTGGTAAAACAAATTAAGGATGCTGAAGCTGCTGCAAACAGTTACTCTCAAGATCTTCAAGCTTTTAGGGTTGAAGAAAATAATTTAAAGAAACAGGTGGAAGCAATTGAGGCAGAAAGGAAGATACTGGAACAGAGAGTGAATGAACTGCAGGATAGGCAAGAAACTGCAGCTGAATTAGAGGAGAAAATGAGATCTCAGACTGATTTACTGGGTGCCAAAGACCAAGGTGGGCTTTGTGTGATTCCTTGTGTCTTTTACGAAGTGAACTTTTAATATTTCTTTTATAAATGAGAAGCTTACAATATTTCTGGATCTTGATGGTTTATTGCAGAAATTGAAGCACTAATGCATGCACTTGATGAGGAAGAGATGCAAATGGAAGAATTGACAAAGAAGATTGTGGATCTTGAAAAGGTTGTTCAACAAAAGAATCAAGAGATTGAGAACATTGAATCTTCTCGTGGTAAGGTTATGAAAAAGCTTTCCATAACTGTTAGCAAGTTTGACGAGCTTCACCATCTCTCTGCAAGTCTCCTTTCTGAGGTTGAAAAGCTCCAATCCCAATTGCAAGAAAGAGATACTGAAATTTCTTTCTTGAGGCAAGAGGTTACTAGATGCACTAACGATGTTCTTGTTGCGTCACAAATGAACAACCAGAGAAGTTCTGGTGATATCTTTGAGTTCTTGATGTGGGTTGACACGATTGTATCTCGTGATGGGATACATGATATACATCCTGATATGAAGAGTAATAATCAGGTTCATGAATGCAAAGAAATACTTCAGAAGAAGCTGACATCTTTATTGTCAGAATTGGCGAATCTAATGGAAGTTGTAGAAAGCAAGGATGCAATGTTGCAAGTAGAAAGGAGTAAGGTAGAAGAGTTGAACCGCAAAACAGAAACTCTTGAGATGTCCTTGCACAAGAAAGAATTGCAGTTGAATTTACTTGAAGGTGTCGAAGAAACTGGAAAGGGAGCTGGGACAAGCTCAGAAATTGTGGAGGTAGAACCAGTGGTGAGGAAATCGATTATTTATTTAATAGTTGATTTGCACTAGTACAAGAATCTTATATTAAGTCCAGCTTAAATAAAATTCTTACTCAAACAAGATTTTCAATTGGAATAAAACGTGTAATATTGTATGGTGCATTACCTTGTCATGATTAACAACACATTCGCATTAAGATAGAACTGACAAATATATTCTAGCAGTTTGAAAATTTGTTTTCATGGTAAGATTTATCTTGGGAGTGTACTTTTTCTCTTCTGACACTACCCTTTTACTCTGATTAGATATGATATACTTGCTTTTGAAAAACATAAATGAATAAAACTATATGTATGGGTTGTGGTAAATGAAATTAAAGGTATTTCTTTTTGGTCAGCACTACATTGACACAGTTATGATTGATTTGAATATAAAGGGATTGAATTTATTTGGTTTTTTTTTTTTTTTAATAGATGAATGAGTGGTCATCGTCAGGTGCTTTTGTGACGCCTCAAGTTCGCAGTTTACGCAAAGGCAATAATGATCATGTTGCCATTGCTGTAGATGTAGACCCTGGTAGTACTAGTAGGATAGAAGATGAGGAGGATGACAAAGGTATTCCTGCACTACTTAACCTTTGAACTGTGGCTTCTGTTGCTTTCAGCAGTGCTTGATGGTTCCTTTTATTTAATTTTGGTTTCCTCACTTTTTGTTGCAGTCCATGGTTTCAAGTCACTCACAACATCCAAAATTGTCCCAAGATTTACTAGACCTTTGACCGACTTGATTGATGGCTTGTGGTGAGTATATTTTTCCCTGTATTTATTTGGTTTTAAATTTCATGTAATTTGACCTTGCGTTCATATTCTTGCAGGGTTTCTTGTGATCGGACTCTAATGAGACAACCTGTCTTGCGGCTTGGAATTATAATTTATTGGGTCATAATGCATGCACTTCTCGCCTTTTTTGTTGTTTGAGGTGAGAGGCCCTGATTTCGCTCTGTATAGTTATTGGCGTACTTTATAAAATCCATAGCCTTGCCATAGGAAGTGCCACCTTATAGATCGGGGATACTTGGTTGCCTCCACTGGTACTAGAAAAAAAGGACTAAGTTTAGTTGTACAGTATCTTCCTTCTGCTTGCTGCTTCTTGTTGCAGTGTGAGGCAGTTACTACTATAATAAACTTAAAATGCTGCCAGAAAGAGTAACAAGCAGCATTGTAGAAAAGATGAGAAAGCAGATTGCTCAATATTTGAAGAGCAATGGATGAAGAGTCTGCCATATAAACAAACACCATGGTGGTTTTTACAAAGATCCTGATGCCTTCCACAAGATCAACACTATCTTTTGGAGGGGTTAGTCCCTGTACTTTGAAAATGTTGGACATTCTGGTGAGCAGGATAAATGACCAATTAGGTATAGGAAAACGTAATTCTTTTGAACATTTATTAAGGTTTTTTTTCCCCCTTCTGTTTAGCCATAAGAAATTTCACTGCTGCCATTCTTTGTATTCTTAAATCAATCATAGCATCGTTATGAATTTTTGTTTTGGCAGTTTGTCAAGCATTAAATATATGTATACATGTGAACTCAATATATTTAGATTTTGACTTCCATTCATGCGTGTATCGCTTCCAAATAGTATATCGGCGATTGATTTCTCCGATGCTTTTTTTTTTTTTGGTGCAGACATTAGCTGATATTTTTAATTTACCATTTATCAGTGGTATTAAACTGATCTCTATAGAGAGAAATTCTGTATACCCAAAATCTATTTACTGCACCGAAATAAATGATCCAGAAGCATTGATGGTCGATAACCTTGATAGACCAAAGAAATAAAAGATAAAATGTTACATCATAACGCTTTCCCCCCTCCCCGTAACAATGATGATAAGAAAATATGAGACGGTCACGTTAAATAAAAAAAAGGTATTTTCTTATTTTAAGGGATTTACTTTAATTGATTGTAAGTCTTACTAAATTAAAGTTAATAAAATTTGTCTTTCTTTTGACGATTTAATTATTTTGTGCTACTCAATAATATGAGATGAGTCAATTCTATTAAAAACTTTAGGTTGGTTTATACTAGAAACTTGCACAAAGATATAAGGTAGTCAAGTACAAGAATACTCTTTTATTTTTTATTTTGTTTCAATAGGTAATATATTAAAAATGCCCAGCATGCTTAGAAATACAAATGTTTAAAGAAGAGTATTATAACAATGCATAACAAATAAAAACCTTGGACTTAGCAATCCTATTTAAATAATATCAAATCATAAAAAACTTCCCTTACTAAAAGAAGCTTAAAATCATTGACAATAAATAAGGTTTTTTTTTAATCTACTTTGAATGAGAACTACAAGGTTTTTTTTTCACATATTCTTGTTTGTTGGAGTACTGTACTGGTTTAAATTTTGTCACATAACTCATTATGAGAAAAGAATTTAAAAGTTCTATTTTAGCTAAAATGCATTTATGCTTCACGTAAGCGAATTTAGATAAACAAAATTTAAATAGAATTAATTCTCATAATGAGTCATTCGGTGCATGAAATTAAAATTAGAGTTTAAAATTGTAATTCTAATTCATGAGAACCGAAATTAGTTTAGAATTATAATTTTGTATTTGATATACTCAAAGAATTAAAATACAGAATTAAAATTTTAAGTTAAAATTAAATTCTATAGTGCAGATGTAAGATCTAAATTTTTAAAAAATAATTTAATTTTATATTAAATTTTTATTTAATAATTTTTTCAAAAATAATGTGTTAATTAAAAAATAAAAATAATTATTAAATAAATTGTTAAAGATAATATAATTAAATAATAACTGAATATTTATTTTTAAAAAATATGACATAGTAAATTTATTTTTTATGTTTAATATTATGTCATGAACTATCTTTTTCATAAATTAGATGAAAGGATACGAATACTCACAGATATAATTTAATTATCAAAATTTAATATATAAATTGAAAATATTATTCTTAAAACATAAAATAATACAATTCTCAAAATCTAAAATATAAACTCAAAAGTATATAATATTTATAAAAATAGATAGTAAATATACTAAAATTAGACATATGGTAAAATTAATCATTTTTTAATTTACATAAAGACCAAGATTTTCTAAGTGCATCATAAAGAGCTTTAAACAACTCATACTTCCATGAATTACTAGTCAGAATATCATAAGCTTAGAGCTATTCTAATTCTTCTAAATATGTTACTTTTAAAAGTTCAATAAATATTTCTTCAGCACTTTTCTTAATAGTATCAAATGGACAAGTCTTGTTGACAATGTCAGCCATATAAAAAACAACAGATAGAAGGGTATCACCAGAACAATTTCTTTTTTTTGAAAGATTTGAGTGCATAGTCACACGTGGTGTAGATTCACGTGTATCACATAATGGTTCCTTAAAAATATTTGCATTGTCATTATTTTCATTATGTTCTTGTTAAATATCTTTCATGGCTTCAACACCAGTCTTAACACCTTCTCTTGTGGCACAATCTTGTCCACAAATAGTTGCTAAATCTTTCCAATTTTTAATCTCTTTGTTTCTATAACTACTTGCTTTTGGATGAGATTGAAAATAAATATGTCAAGTAATACTAATTCAATATGTATATTAATATAAAAACTAAAAAAATAAATAAATAAAAGACAGACCAAGCTTGAGTTCATGATACTTGATATAGTCTCTCCAAACTTGATCACTATTAACCTTCACCATGTTGCATTGCCAATCCCAACCAAAGCCACCGCCAAGCATACTAGCAATGATATAACAATGTTTATTCCAAGTTTTAAGGCGAGACAAAATATTATCCTTAGTGATTAAAATATTATATTGTTCTCTTATGCCATTTATTGTTGCAGTGTATGCACTTGGTTTCCATCCATTAGATACTTTATTTCCTATTTTATGTTGTTCAAGTAGAACATTTGTAAGAACACGATTGCATGCTTAGTCCATTATACATATGACTTGGCCTTATCTTTATTTTTGCAAGATTTGTCTTTCTCTATCAATTTGTAAATAAAATCAATACAAATATATAATGGATTAATAACATAATAAGATAAAATTAAATATATTTCAGCGTAGCATATTTCATTAAATGATATAATTACGAAATTCATGTCTAATATAAGATAGATATTACATCTTTTAACATATTAATGGCAACACACTCATTAATTATCCATGCCTAGCTTGATAATCATTGAACATTTCAATGGCCAAATTATCTCTGAATGTTGTCCATCTTGAGTAACTTCAATAGATCTAACAACATCATTTTCATCTTATTCATCCATTGTCCTTGTTTCATATATTTCTCATCTACCTCATTGAGCAAAAGATCATCCTTCTCATGTTGTTTATCTCGAATGCAATTATGCAATAGGCAATGTTCAATATACAATAAACATTGATAATTTGTAGTTCTGTTTTGACTTAAGTGAATTATTTCAATGATGATGCACACATCTTTTTTCTTGAAAAAAATTGAATGGTTAAATTATACTTGAGTTTTTAAGTTGAAAAAAGATTGTGTGTCTAATATGGACTATCGCTTCTTCAACAAGCCAAATGTCCGCTCTATTACATTTCTTGCTGAGGAATGATGAAGGTTGAATAACTCCATATATGTTCTTGGACTATTACTATATATTGACCATTCATTTAAATGTAGCGAGTAGAATGCTAAGGTGCCAGAAATCCAAGATCATTGGTATATCCTGCATCTACTAAATAATATTTTCCTAGAAAAATAGAAATTAATGTTAATTATTGAATGATTAATAATTTAACTCTATGTTTGAAATTATCACCATTTGGTATTACAAATGAATCAGCTCTTGTCATGGCACTACACAGAACTCTGGACTTTGAGTCTAATGCTGAACCTTCCCATCAAGGTAAGACATAAATAAGCTTTATTTTTCGATCACACACTCCTAACACATTTGTAGTGATTTGTTATTTTTTGTTCCTATATTTACCTTGGTCTTTAAATGGAAGAGTAATTAAGACATGTGTCCCATCTAAGGCTCCAATACAATCCTGTCAATATATGATCAATATTGAATTTAGTGTATAACGTTGTTCTCAAACTATTTAATCTAATTAGCATAGATCTTACTGAAAACTACTTCCACTTTTCATCTTCTACAACTTCATTTGTAGGGATGAGTATTTGATGTATTCTTTAGTTAGGCTAATAATTGTTACTAGAACTTCACTAAAGTGTCTACTAATAGTCTCTGTGTGAAACGATTATAAGCGCCTCTGAGAACTTTCATTTTAAGACCATGAGTTAAAATAAGTAAAAATATTGTAACTAATTTTTCTACGCTTATGATAAGTATCATGTAGTCTTCCTTCTTCATGTAAAATGTTACAAAGCTAAAAAAAAGCTTGTTTAGTAAGACGTAATTGATTATAACAATTTTTATCAATCCCATAATATAATCTCCTTAAAAATATACTTTTTTCCTGTGTCTTTATCACTCTCCTCCATAAAGTTATTGTGGCCATTGTAATAACTGTTGCATTTAGCACTAATTTTCTCTTTTTTGTTTCTCTTGTACTCTTAATAGTTCTTGACTTAATTTCTAATATTTCCTTCGATATTTTAGGAATTTAAAAAAAATATCAAACAATTTATTATATAATTAACTAAAATAATATAGCTTGCATTAAGTGCAGAAAAATAACACAATATAGTTTATAACAAGTGTAGAAAGTGTATAATAACAATATGATATAGTAACATAAACATATTAAATATGTAATAGATGTAAAAAAGGAGAAAGAAAGAAGAAGACGTGAAAGAAGAATAAAAAGAACAAGAGTAAGAAAAATAGAAAAGCATCACTTTTATTAATAATCAATGTAAAATGAGGAAGAAAAGAATAGAAAAAAAATTATATTAATAATTAATATAAAAGTGAAGTTAAAAGGTAAAGAAAATATAAAAAAATGAGAAAACGTAGGGAGGGGAAGAAAGATGCATAGGAGAAAGAGAGAACAAAAGAAGAGGAAGAGGAAGAGGAAGAAAAAGGAAGTATCTAGGGAAGAATAGGAATCACAGAGATAAGGAACTATGAAGATGAGTAGACACAATATGTGAGAGTGTATTTGTGAATTATGATATTAGGAATTGAAATTCTTAGGATGTAGGTTACAATTGAAGTGAGCCAAATTTAGTTGTCATAAAATTTTATAGAATTAGTTTGTGAAATTATAATCTCAATTTTAAATAGACATCCAAACATGATAATTAAAATTCTGAAGTCCAATTTTCAATTTCAATGTCTAATTAAATACTTAATTCTGTATATCAAACAAGCACTAAGCATTTTTTTTTTAAATTTAAAAGTCCTAAATTGATTTGAGCAAAAATAGAATAGAAAGAAATATAGACAAAGATGTGCACGAAATCTAAATCCTTTTTTCTATAGCTTGTGATCCATTCTTCTTCTATCTTCCTTATTTCAACCACAACTGATTTTGACTTGCCATAGATAACATGCTAGCATGTTTTGGTGTTACAATAAGAACAATATGTGATGTCATTTATCTTCTCTGCATAAGTTTCCAATTCTTCGGTGCTTACATTTTACCTTCATCTTGA